ACTCGCAAGGGAAAAACATATTTTGTTGCTGAATCCACACTGATTTGTATGGCGTTTTCCTATCATATGCCAAATATTATACTGTTCATAGTATTTCTCCCACAAAACCGTATGTTGTTTCTTGAAAAAATTGAACACCTTGCATCATCGATTCCCCCACGTCATTCTTGTGTTTTCTGTATATCTTGGAATAAAATGTTGGGTAAATGGGAGTTGGTAATTTGGTATTTTGGTTGAAGTTGGAAAATATATTAAAATAATATTTTTTTTATTTTTAAAATTTTATTTTTAATATTATTAAAATGATATGAAAACATTAAAAAATATTAATTTAAAATAAAAATAAAAAAATTAAATTTTTTGAAAACAGTTTTAATACATAAAAATACAATCATAATCTTAACCTCGCTAGAAAATGAGATTCATCCGTCCACCAACTTTATTTCATTTTTAATTTCAAGAGCTAGCTTGATAAGAAAGTTTGTTCATTTTCTTAACTTGAATGGACGGAAACACAAATAATAAAAAATAACAAGAAAAAAAAGTTTTGACATAATAGGATTCTCAAACAAAAAACCTTAATTAATTTGTAGTTTTAATTAATCTAAAATATATTTCTAATATATTCTCATCTCTAATAGGCTTGACAACTTCTAAATTCAACCTTTACAAAGTAGGAAAAGCAAACACAAGTAGAAGAAATTCATGGAAAACCGGTTATTTCACTTGGTGTCCTTGCCACTCCTCATTATGATACAGGAGAGAGGAATGAAACATGGAGATTGATGAAAGATTGGCCAGACAAGCAGACGACAGGTTCTGTAATTTATATTGCGTTTGGCAGTGAATCAAAACCAAGTCAAGTTGAGCTGAATGAGATAGCTCTTGCGCTAGAATTATCTGGGCTACCATTCTTTAGGGTGCTAAGGAAGAGTCGAGGCTTGGCTGATTCTGAGTTGATCGAGCTGCCAGAAGGGTTCGAGGAGATCGAGAACCAAAAGGGTTTGGTTTGGACTAGTTGATATGCTCAGCTCAATATCTTAATTAGCTCATGATTCGGTAGGTGGATTCCTGACTCCTTCTGGATGGAGTTTTGTAGTTGAGGCACTTCAACATGCCAGAGCTCTTAAAGTACTCTCGCCAGTCTTCGCTGACCAAGGGGTAAACGGAAGGGTTTTGGAAGAGAAGAAAAAAGGTATTCATTACCAAGAAACGAGGAGAATGGATATTTTACGAGGGGTTCAGTACGCAGCTGAATCCTTGAGATTGGTGTCAAAGATCGTCAAGACAAGTACGTGGACCAACTTTTGAGCCATCTCAGAAACCATGGACGTATCAAGAAAATCAAGAGCAAAAATATGCATAGATTATCTTCATATTTTTTTTTTTAATACTAACAGTGCATGTCGAGAGTGGATCATGTGTGACAGTAGTCGGTATCCATTGATTGATCTGCAAGTTTCTGGTGCCTGAAACTTGAGGTGAATAAGAAAGCTCAAAAGCTAGCTTGTGCCATGATTATTAAGGTAGCTGCTATCGTTCCTTCCAAGGGCTCCATTTCTGCCCCTGTGCCTTCATCCATAAACATGTCATGATCACTGAATAATGCTTTCAGTATTTGCTAGTTCCTCCAATTTAATGAAGATCATCGTTAATATATAGAGGTAAACAAATATATCAGTAGGTAAACAAATTTAATGAAGATCATTATTATGCTTTCAGTATTTGCTAGTTCCTCCAATTTAATGAAGATCATCGTTAATATATAGAGGTAAACAAATATATCAGTAGGGCTGGAAATCGAATCCGAAACCTCGAACTGAAGGAATTTTTTCGTAAAAGACATAACACACAATCGACAATTCGTTATGGTATCATAATTTACTCTTTTATGGACGAGCAGGCCTAAAATTGCGGTTGTTTTTGGCAAAACAGGAAAAGAAGTTCAAAAAATTGAGAAAAAACAAGGAAATTAAATGACAAGCATAAAATAAAAGCATAGCAGTAAAATCATACATATCAACAACTGACATTGATCTCTAATTAACTAAAGATCATTATAACCATTGTTGATTCATATCAGGAATTACTGAATAATACATATAATTACTTCTTTTCTGATCATCTCCGTTGCCTTCAAGTTTCACTCAAGTGAAGAGTCAATCTTGTGAACTGATCTGGAGAAGGCAAGAACATCATCAGGATCTTGAACATCAACCTGCTTGTTTTCTTTAGGACCACCTGCATCACTGCTATTACTAATTATTGATTCACGAATCACAATCTTTGCCATTGCATCATCAACACCCTTTGTAGATGAACCTTTCTTCTCTTCTGTCACTTCCTTCTCTAATTGCTCTTTTCTCTCTTTCTTTGTCTCCATACTCTTACACTGCCTCTAGTTTTCCTTCTGCTACTTTTTTCTCCTTTCTTTGGCCTTATTTTTAGTTAAAATACAGGTGCAAGAAATGTGGGGTTGCAGTGCTTTTACGCGTGGCTGCTTTTACATGCAAAGAAGCAGAACAATACACGTATGGCTTCTATATTTAGTGAATGTCAATGTAATAAAATGATCTTAACTAGCTCTAAATCACCCTTGATATGTGGTATTTTCTATGAGCTTCTACGAATCAAAGTTACACACACACACACACACACCAATGCCATCTCATGATTGAGAAATATTCATAAAAATTTATCTCTTTACTTAAATTCAACTTTAACAATTAGAAAATTAGTGTCACTAAGCTCTAAACTTAATAGTATCACTTTCTTTTAAAAGGAATTTGTATCTCTAACAAAAGAAAACTAGAAAAGCCAGCCTGAATTATACATCCAAATCAGGTTTTGGCAGCTTACAAGCTCAATTCCACTCTGCATGAAATCTGAAAGCCATCTGTCAAAGTATCACACCAATATTGTGTACAGAGCCGGCCTAAACATATGAACAACTTGGCAATAACTCAAGATACTTACATAACAAAAAAAATCTTGAAGACTAATTAATTTTATTTTTCAATTATATTTTATGAAATGAAAATTATCCTTATTTAACAAAAAATTCATGAAATTTCATTTGTTAGATATATATAAAAAAATAATATAAAAATATTTTAAAAAACCACTTAAGTTTTTCACGATAACTTGCTGTCCTAAAACCGGCTTTGATCTTGTATACTTGTTTTTCACTTCCTTTACATCTCTTTCTCAGCCCCTTCCCTTTATCTTTTCATCTTTATTGCGTCATCAGGACATGTCTTGAATATGTCAATTAACTGTACTAGACATGCAAAGACAAGTTCTAATTGGCGGTAAACATTCGACAGAGAATATCACACCAGCAGAGAAAATTGCATGGCATGAAGATGTATTGATAGAAATGTTGCTACGTCTACCAGTGACATCTCTAGTCAAATTCAAGTTTGTTTGCAAACCCTGGCCTTTGCTCACATCAAGCACTCAATCCGTCACAACCACAGCCAAAGAAACACAAATACTGTACCTTCAGGCTTCTTCTTTCCAGGGTTATTTTATATTTCTCTCAGAAACAATGGTTTTGATCATTATGATGATAATCATCTAGGGTTTCCTTCTCTTGCCTCCTTAAACACCCCAGTTGTTAAAATTATCCAGTCCTGCAATGGTTTGTTACTTTGCAGCTCTAGCACACAGTTGAATGACTCTTCTGCTAGTTACTTCATCTGCAACCCTACAACCAGGAAACTCAGCCAGTTTCCCTTACTTAGTATGGTGCCTGTCAGCAGAAAATGTAGTATTGTTGGTGTTAGTTTTGCTTTTGATCCTTCAAAATCATTTCATTTCAAAGTCATTTGTTTTTGGAGATCATTTGACAATGATCGTTATTATCAAAATCTTGTATTTGTTCCACACACTTTGTCTAATAGGGATATATTCCTCTGAGACAGGCACTTGGGTGTTTTCAGGTGATCCTTTTAGTGCATCAATCACTACTGATTTTGATTGTGGTGTGTTTTGGAATGGTTCCTTTCACTGGCTATGTCCAATGAAGACACGTCTCTATTTTGACATTGGTAAAGAATGCTTGAGAACATTGTGCGGAAGGCCATACCCCAAGATCAGCAAGCATGGAAAGGTTTAGATATTTTGTGGAATGCAGTGGCTGCTTGCTTCTTGTTGAGGTTGACATAGTTATTGATTCAGTTGTTCATGTTCTTGAATTGGAGAGGGATCAGTACTCAGAAGGGTGGGTAATCAAGTACCGCGTCAATCGTGGTAGAATAGGAGTTACATGTGGGCGTTCCATTCTTAGCGTTGCTGGTGTAGAGCAAGAGGAAGGTGTGGCACTGGTGATGTTGGGACACCAGGGTAGTGTCCTTTCTTATAATCTGAAGAACAGGACTTGGAGTGTTCTTGATCACTTCATGCGAAGAAACAGCACAGAAGTAGGTAAATTTAGAAGGTATTGTGCTCCTTCGTACATTGAAATCCTTTTTTGCTTTTGACAGTTCCTTCCATGCTTTGTATTTTGTAAACTTGATATTATATCATGTCTTATAGTAGTGGTGTCCCTTGTGTTTCTCAAAACCATCCAGTCCTGTTGAAAATCATGCTCCTACATCAGTTTTTTTTTTTTAATTAATGTAGATATCTGAATTAGCTTATACCTTAATTAATCTTTTGGACTTTAAAGTTAATAATAATATAGATTTTCAAACTTTACCCGTTAGCATTTGCTGCTGCCATGGTGCTTGCTCATAATACATGCACATTGTAGAAATTACATTAGACAATCCCTGATACTAGTACTCCAAACCTGCTATCCCATATCAAATTGGGTCCTGGGAATTCGGATTAAATTTGTTACCAGGTTGCTGCTGAATATATTCCCTTCAGGAGGCACAATTGCCTAAATTTCGTACAAAATGGTGGCACCGCGCTGATTTCAGTAGTTATTCGTGTTATCACAGAGACATGCAGCAAACTACGATCAGGTCAATGGTTTATATTGCACAGTATGATGGATGGAAGGAGAGATAAAGCATTGCCTCTGGGATTTTGTATAAAACTGGTGCTTAATAAAGCAAAAATTCAGTAACAAGCTAACAAAACTTCTATTGAAAAACGAGTGGTAGATTAAACATAACTCATGGTCAAATGACCACCACCCTGTCAACTGGAGTAGTTCTATCATTAAACTTGACCAATGTCTAATAACTTTTGATTGACAAAAATACGACCACATCAAAACTTGAACAATGTCATCAAAACCTAGTTCATCCTCCTGATCAACTCATTGATGTAATCTTCACGGTTTCCAGCATCACCTCCTTCAACATAATGGTTTCTCTTTTTCTTCAAACCTCCGAGAGGTGCCTTGAGCTGGAAAGGCCACAGGAAGTTGTTTGCCTCCTTGAAATGTGGTCCAACAGTTATGATTTCATGTATGAGATCTTCCATGCAGATTATTCCGTGCTTGCCCAATCCCTGCAGTAAAAAGGAAACATGCTCACTAATTACATAAACAGTCACTGGCAACGCCATTGATAACTCAAAACAGTGTTCAAACTACAGACCTGTTCAACGATTGAATTATCAGTCAACGGAATTCGCTGTTGGTTCAGTTTCCCATAGCCCCTCTTGTAAATCAATTCTTTAACACTCTTTAAATTGGGATACCTAGATCCATTTACATCAGTCATGAAATTTAGCACAGTAAGAAGAACAGGAAGTAAACTGTTTAGAATCATTATGAAAACATACCCAAAAGTCACATAAGGCTCAACCCTGTGAAGCATATTCACAGTTGCTTTGTTTACTTTCAGGAATACTCCGTTAAATATCTGCAAACAGAACACCAGGCAATTTGATTAATCAAACATGACTCCACGTCAATTTCTCACAAAAAAGAAACAGTTTCTCATGAGATGATGGCAGTAGTACCTAAGCCATTTAATCTCCAGGAAAAAAGAAGATGCACAAATTAAAACAGTGAAAAGTTGCTCATGGCAAACAACTGCAACCTGAAGTTAGAACACACATTTTCACATAATTATAAATGACCTCATTATCAATGTCCTTGAACTTCCTAAACTAAGATCTTAATTGTGGAGAAGTTAGAACACACCACCGCCTATCAAAAAACACATCAAACTGCAAACTGTATGAAACAAACAAATATTCCTAAACAAACTGAGTTAGCATAATTGCAGAAGCTAAAAGAAAGTTGTGAATAGACACATATTCTAGTTGATGTTTTCATTAATTTGCTTAGTAAATATTTTGAAGAAACCAAAAACACGGAGTGAAAATCAGCGGCTCAACCTATCAGCCTCAGGTTTAAGATACCATCCACTACAAAAATGCCAACACTTAGCATTTCACTTTAATGAAAATAAATATTGACAAGAATTATCTACGAGCTGTATTATGGAATCAAGGAATTTACTGGAATAGAAATGAAGCATCACCTGTCTCAAACGCAGAAGCTGCAGGATGGATCTTGTCTTTGGGTGCATAGCATTGATACTGAAAGTCATAAAATCCACATTAAACAAATGTGCCATCAAAATGAGAACTACAAGTTAAAGTTTATACAACAGTCATACCCACGGATCCTGATGATAAACAACAGCTTAGCTTCTGGATTGACATAGAACCCTCCCTTGAGTCTTGCTTCACGCTTCAGCCTAATAAGCTCCTTTTGCTGATCAAGACACAAAAAAAAAAATACACATTTTAAACAGTCAGGATTCATATTACTACCAAAACATCACAAATTTCATTAATAAATCAACACACGAATGATCATATGATGTGTTATACTACCTCCTCATCATATTTCTGGGCATACTGCTTAGCCCTGCTATAAATCAACTTGCGATTTTCAGCATTTTTCTTCTTTAGAGCTAGCTTCTCTTCCTTCTTAGCCAAAGCCCATTCCTCATTCCTTTTCTGCTTTTTCAACACAGACTCTGGTACCGCTACCTTAACTTCTTCCCCACCCATCTCTCTCTATACACGAAATAATCACCGAAAATCAACCGACTATCAATATGCTACCGCTCTAAAAACAAAGCATTACCCCAAACTAGATGGGAGCAATATATCAATTTCTGCATTTCAAGCAGAAACCACAAATAGCTGTTACATCTAAATCTAAAACTGCGCAGACCATCTAAAATTACAGCAAGAAAAGAAGAAAATTTTCTAGCTTTTTAAGCTTCTAAACCCAACAGAATAGCTTCAAAATTGATTAACTAAGACAAATGTTCAACACTAGTATCAATAGCACATTATTTCAAAATTAAAGACAAAGAAACCCTTTTAAAATGACAGCAAAAAGGTAGATTCTTGAGGTTTGTTTTAGCAAATGAGAAGAAAGGTTTCTAGAATTTTTAGCTTCAAAATCCAACAGAAGTGATTACAGAATTTCTTAAACAAAACGACTAACAGCAAAAGAGATATGATAGAAAGCTCTGAGGAGGAAGAGTGAGGATAGATTGAAAGATTTACTTGTTTGGCTTGCTGGTAGCGACTGCGATCTGCAAAGAGAGAAGAGATTGCTTCGCGGCTCTGAAGCAATGTATATGTGTAAGAAGGATTAGGGTTTCTTAGCAAGGTCGATTTTTGTATGGGCCTTGTTGGGTAAGTTGCAACCCTTGAGATCATGTGGCCCTAAGTTGGAGTAGCCCAACATTAATCTAAGTATATTTTCATTTTGTTCTTTTTCTAGCTTTTTCAACAACATTATTATTTAAGAGCAAATAAAAAACTATTTGTTTAAAATCAATAATCTATTTAAAATTAAGGTAACATGAAAAATATGTATAATAATCCATGTAAAATTATTTTATTAAAATTAAGGCATTTATATTTTTCCATCAATGGGCTATTAAATTATTGAGTCAAGAAAATGTTTTTTTTTCCCACGGTTGCATTTATTTGCAAAGTTTTAAGAAATTTTATATTATTAATGTTTAAATACAGATAATCTGATGTACAAAAATTGTGAATTTAATAAGAAAAAATGATGTGGTAATTTCTTTAAAAAAACGAAAATGTTGTAGTATTTGTTGAAAAAATATGTTTTAAAATAAGGTTAATGGATATTTGAAATCAAATTAAAAGTGACATATATTCACTTTTTAGATAAAAATTTTGTTAAAAAATATTCTCCAACATAAACTTTTTAATATAAAATATCAAGATAATTAAAATAAATTATTAGTAAATCAAAAATTGATATCATAGAACTCTTAATTGATATATTTTAAAGAAACTCAAAACCTTTACAAACATTTACCCCATTGAGAAAAGAAATAAACTTTTCTAGTTTCATGGTTCAGTTCGGTTCAGTTTGAACCACAAAAATCAACTAAATTGAGTAACTTAAAATTTTGAAAATTCAAATCGAATCAAATTTTGGTTCAAACCAAATTGGTTTCGTTAGATTAAATTTAATTTTTTTCTATAAAATAAAAACAAATCTAACCATACCATCAATGAAGGAGACCTCTCCTAAATCATACTTGTAAAATAACAAGCTATAGAAAAAAAAAAAGAGAGAGAAAAAAAAGAAAAGCAAACCCCTAAATCTTACTGTTGATTGATTGCAAGAAGAGGTAAAAAACTTTAACATGGTAGAACTAGAAACTCATTTAAATCCCTAGTACTTCCCTATAAGACTACTACTAACACCATTGAGTAATGATCTCTAATTTCTACCCCAAGTCTTTTTTATATATATAAATTTAACTAAATAACTAGTATTCAAAAATCATAGTCGTCGTCGTCATGCAACTGTTAGGTTCTCATAAAAGAAAAGAACGTCAAATTCAGAGAGGGAACCTTCTTCTTATGATCAACAGAATCATCATCATTATCAGGATCTCGAGCAGGATCAGACTTGTCCATGATGGAACGAGCTTTGTCAAGGAATGGTTTGAAAGTCATCTCAATAGCTAGCCACCGAAATACAAAGGGCATAAATATAACCACTGCCTTTAAATATAACCATTGCCTATTTTGTTGGCTTCATCCCCATCTTGTCATCTTTGCTTTAATGAAGGAGACCACTCCTTTTATTGTAGCTTACAAAAATGAAAGAAGATTGTCGATCACAACGGCTTGCACAAAAGTGAACAGAGAAGAGAAGCCAGAACGGAGGATCATGCTATTTGTGCATAGTAGTTGAAAACTTAAAAAGGAAAAAAGAATAATTTTTAAGGTGGAGAGGTGGTTTACACAGTTCACACTACACTTTTTGCACAAACGACGGCTTTTTATGAGAGAATGGGAGTTTGTGAGGGTAGGGGAGAGTGGGGTTATGTTAAGTAGGGTTAGGTTAATTAACTATTTACACTCCTTGGCTGATAGCGAGTTTTTATGATTTTTTCGTTGGTCTGGTCAATTTGTCGATTTTATAACTAAAATCAAAACTGACCAGACGTATTAAAAATTATAGTTTTAAAAATCAGTTTAATCGGTTTTTCATAATGATTCAGTTTTTTCAATTAATTTTTCTTTGATTTTTTATTTTCCCAGTTGATCATTTTTTTTAACACCCTTAATGAAAATGCAAGAAGTTAAAATTTGATCCAAATAGGATATAAACTTTTAGAGGGAGAGATCCTAAGCAAACTAGGCTGAGAATTTAAACTTCTAACTTCTCAAATCTTAAAAGTTTGGATTTACCATAAAATAATTTTTTTAGCTACAAAAAATTATGTTTTACCAATTAATTTTAAGCTTGCGTATGGTCCCTGAAAAATTATGTATTCCAGGTCATTATCTTGCCCAACCCATGAATTAAGTCTCATTAGTTTCTCCAATTTTTTTCATAATTTAGTCAATTTTTTCAACTTTTAAAACCAAATTTTTCAGGTTTAATTTTTATTTTATGATAGGTAATTAAAATTGATAATTGAGGGGATTTATGATGGTATTTATCATAATTAATTCTTAATTAGTTTTAATTTCAAAATTCATTATTAAAAAAGGATTGAAGGAGGAGTTTTCTAAACTATTATTTTAGATTTTAAACCTCTTCCTTGTCTCATTTTTAGTTTTTTTTTTTATACTATACTATGTGCTTTATTTTACTCCTAATTTAGAGTTTAAGTCATTTGATCGTTGATGAGAGAAACTGTAGTCTATTTTCTTGGTTCACTAACCTTGTTTGAAAGTGTGTATAAACAAAATGGTGTTATTAGAATTTTACTAGATTTATTGCAAATATCCTAAATGGGCCAAGTGAAGAATAATAAAGAATTAAAGATAAAATATTAATAATTTAGATTTCATGTTTAAAAAAAATCATTATCATGCTTAAAAAATAATTTTAGCTTTAATAATTCTTGTTATGAAAGTGGGATGATGATCCATGAAAAAACAAATCTAATATTTTTAAAAAATAGTATTCTAGTAAATAATGCTTTATGAGAAATATTACAGTGAAACCCCCCTTTTTAAATTTTTCTTTTTTAATAATTATATTTTCTTCATATTTAAAATTCAAAATTATATACTTAAAATTGATATTTTCTTTTCTCATATCATGTAAATATAAACCTCTAATTACTGTTCATCAAGACACAATTCATTATAGATTAAAACAATAATTTTGATTTTATTAGTCCATATTTTTTTTATCTTTGGTCATCAAAGTTTTTTATCCTTTTTCTAGAAAATGAATTTCATAATATTTTTTATTTATTTTTTATAAGGTTATCACTATCTTCAAAAAAAATCTTGAAATTGGATTAATTCTTAATTTTACAAAACAATATTTCATTTTATTACTTGTAAGAAATTAAAAATTTAAGGATCAAAACTTAAAATGAGAAAAAAATATAGCATTTTTTGCTTTCTTTACATTGTGTTGTTAGTGCCTTATTTTTTTTAAAAAAATAAGCCTTCAGATTTTTTACATATTTTTTAAATGCCTTATAATTGAAATAACAAAGAAAAAATGCAGCTCTTTTTTTTAGTTCTTTAATTTGATAATTATATATATTAATTCAAAACTTTATTTAGTTCTTGTATTAATCATTTCATATCAACCATTGAATTTAAGAGAAGAGGGAGTGAGTTATTAAAAAATAGGGGAGGAGAGAGAAAAATATATGTTGACTATTTTAAATAATAAAAAAAATTATTTTTGATGTCATTAAATTTATCTTTTCAAGAAGAGATTAATAGGGAATTGTATTTTTGCTATAAACATGCTAGAAAAATTAAATCACAGTCTATTTAAATATTTTTAATTTTATTAATTTTTATTTTTAGAATGATTTTAAAATTTTTTGGGGTTGAATTTACAGATTATCAGAAATAATCTTTAAATAGGCTAGATTTCATTTACAGCAAGAAATGATCTGTTGCTCTTTAAAAAAACAAAAACAAAGCATACACTACCTTCCAAATAAAAAAAAATAACCAAGCAAGCGAGCTTGACCTTTAAGGCCTACACGTGTGGCCTAATTTTTAATGGCGAGGCGTGTTGGCACCTAGACTTATAGGTTTGGTTTGTTTTAGATTTTATTTTTTTAGGTTTTTTCTTGAATTTAAATTAAATTTTTCTTCTAATAATTTATTTAAAATATAATTCTTATATTATTTTATTAAATAATTAAACCAATTAAGAATATATTTTAGATATTATTTTATTAAATACTATTCAATTTTTATTTTATTTTTTAATAAGATTATATCAAACTTTTAAAAACATTAGCAAGTATTTTTTATAACATCCAACCATTATCATCTTTTTTTATCAGGTTGTTATTTTTTGCAAATATTTATTTTAATTATTATATAATTAAAAAAATAATTTTAAAAAATAAAATTATTAAACTTAATAAAACCTATATTCAAGTCATAAATTTGATAAGTTAATTCTAGTCAATTTAAAATATTATTATTTTAATATATTTAAAAAAAAATTATCTTGATTTTTTTAAAACTAAATTGAATTTTTATTGATTTTCTAAATTATTTTTAAATTTATCAAATTAATTAGATTATATTAAAACATGATATAATGTAATTAGAAACATACACTTACGAGTAATTGGAGCTTGATTTTGAAATAATAATAGAATTTTGTGTAAAAAATAAATTCTAGAGAAAGTTCAACATGTAAACAAGACAAAGGGTTTTGGTTTGAGCGATGCCTTTGTTTTTTTTTTTACCCTTATTTTAAATTGTCCAGTTTTATCCAGCGGCTCTAAAGTCCGTTCCTAAAACCCTTCTGTCCGTTGAGTTTATTAACCTCTCCCTCTCTCTGACTCAGGAAGTCTCTTCCTTTCCCTGTATAAAACACACAAAACCCTAGCTATCCATCTTTCCCTTTATGTCCAAAACCCCAGTTGCCAACACAGTAAACATAAACCCTAATCTCTTATCATTTAAGCCTCGCCAAGTGCTGTTGCTCTCTAACAGACCACCAATCATGAAACAAGAAAACATCACCGAATCTCAAACTTTGAAGCATGAACAGAAGACAATTTTGCTTCACTCTATAGCTAATTATCTTGAAAACACTGGTGGGTTTTCTAAAACATTAAAGAAATTCAAATCAGAAGCCAAATTTGAGGTATTCAAAACAAATTTACTCACTCTCTCTTTCTCTCTTGGCTTATCAAATTATGCAAGTTTAGTCACAGAGATAAAATAATTGGATTTTTTTTTGTTTTTTGAGTTGAATTTGTGTTTATACAAATGGGTTTTGTGGATTTAATTTAATGTTAATGTATTGGGTGGATATGAGATGATCGAGGTTAATGAAGCCTAATGGGATTATGTGTCTCTGTTGTGCTGTGGCTTTCTGGGTGTTCTTTTTTTGTTTATTTGATTTTTTTTTTGGTTTTTTTGTGATCTTTGTGCAGAAAGATGATTTGTGTGGCGGTTCCTTGATTGATTTGGAGGAGGTGTTTTGCAAGCTTTTGAAGACCAGGTAGGATGATTTTAAAATCAATGTTTTTTTTTTTTTGGTAATTCTCATGTTAACAATATGAATCTCTATTATGGAGCTATATACTGTACGAGGGGATTTTTTTTTATCGATAACCATGGCGATAAGATGGTGTTATTTGATATTAAAACAATGCACAAACTTTCTGTCAGTCGTTAAGAATGAATTTGTTTCACACATATCCCTGAATTTAAGTTTTGTTTTGTTTTGTTTTTTTTATTGAAGTGTCAAATTTGAACGAGCACTCTCAAATTGCATGACTTCCTCTATTTTTGCAGTGACGATACCTGCAAAAAGCTAGAGAGCAGCCAGGTGCAAGGTGTGTTTAATTAATGAAGTTGCTTGCCTGCTTGGCAACTGTATCATCATTTTCTACGTTGTTAGTAAAATCTTCTTATATGATAGATGTTGACACTAGCTCATGGTCTAGTTCTATTTAACTGCAGATATACAGACAAATGACTTTGCTAAAAAGAAAAAGAAGAGTGATCCTGATGCCATAAACAAAAAACTAGGAACTGCTGATAAAGTTAACAATTATGAGAGCGTTGAAGAGATTTTAACAAATGATACAGTGTCTACTGAAGTAAAGTCTAAAGAGAATAAGAAAAAGAAAAAGAACTCTCATTCTCATGGACAAGAGGAACAAGACAATAGCGAAGCTTTGAAGGAACCTGCTGATAATGTTGCTAGTGAATCTCCTGATAAGAAACGCAAGGACAAAAGGAAGAAGAAAAGCAACATGGAATCTGAGTCTCAAGTTGATAATGTTGGACACCATTCATGGGAACCTGTGGCAACAGAGGAAAAATCTAAGGATGTGGCATCTTCAGAGGGAAATAAAGAAACTGTTTCTGAGACAGAGAATAAACCAAAGGATAAGAAGAAAAAGAAAAACAAGCTTTCTGATGCTGATGCTGACAGTGATGACAACAAGAATGTCAAATACGAAGAAAGGAAGAAAAAGAAGGATATTGTTGTTTCTGAAAATATGTCTGTTGAGACACTTGATGAAGGGAAATCAAATAAAGTAGATACTGAAAAAGATGATTCTAAGAACTCAAAGAAGGATGATAAAGAGAATAAAAGTTCCAAGAAGAGGAAAAGATTTCCTTCTGAAGATGATGCCACTCAACCTGCTGATGAAAAAGCAGTTGAAGATCCTAAACGCAGAAAGATGGAAAGTTCAGAAGAACCAAAGGAAAATGGCCAGGCAAATGGGAACCTTGAGAAAAATGGAGAGAACTCATCATTGCAGAAATCAATGAAGAAGGAAAAGAACGGTTCAGTTGAGGTAGGGTTTTGAACACTCTTAACTTAGGGAAGCTTGTTACTTTCAACTGTAAATTCCGAAGCTGAAGTCCCTTTAAAATTCCAAATAAAAGCTTGTTCAAATTGTTCCTGTGCTATAAGTTTATCAGGTTTCCTTTATAAATGTGCTTAAAACCTATTTGTCCATGTGGTGGAGCCAAAACCTTAAGTATTTATGTCTAACCAGGCTTTGAGCAACAACTGATTTTTCATGACGATTAACTTACCAGCTCTTCAAAAACCCTCATTGTTATGAGCAAAGTTCTTTTGTTAAAATTCATGATAGCCGTTCTATATCAGCATGAATAATTCTGTTCAAGTGTATTATTGATTTAATTTGTGTATTCTTAGACTGGAATTATGTTATTGCAGCCGAAGACTGTTAAGCATTTTCAAAGAGTAAAAGTTGATGAGGTGGTATTCTCTGATGACAGGCTTAAAGATAATTCATACTGGGCGAAGGTTTGACAAGTTTTCCATATTTGTTTTTGAGATTTTTGGTCCTTCATTGGTTTATTTTCTTTAATATTTTCCATAAATTCTCTGTAGGATGGTGCCGAGGATGGTTATGGTGCAAAAGCACAAGATGTTCTTGGGCAAGTTAGAGGAAGGTACATTTGTAGTTATGGCATTTCTATTTCTTTATTTTCAGATGTGCAAACAAAATGTTGTTCCTGCTATCTTCTTGTCATTCTTTCTACCAGTGGAACCATAACAGTAATTTTATTGGCGAGTTAATGATCTGGTCTAAACTGCTGACGTGGCTATTCTAATTCTAACTCTAGACTTTCATCAGTTTAGGAACCTCTTTTCTTCCAGTAGTTTTAACTTTCAGCAAGTTTTATATATTTAATACTGATCCAAGCATTGCTGTTAAAAGGAAGGGAAGTAAAAGCTGAATTTTGTGGTTACTAGTGTAACCTAGGATGTTTAAAGAATCAAGGGTTTTGGTTTTTGTTGGTCATTTTATCTTTCTTTTGTTTTTTATGAGGAAAATTTTTGTTAGAAAGATTGAAATTGTAAAAAGGTAACTGGTATAGCCCTTCAATATTTTGGGGATCTGTACATTATGAAAATTTTCTTACTGCACTATTTCTCTCTCGCTTTCAGGGATTTTAGGCATGAAAAAACGAAGAAGAAGCGTGGGACATACAGAGGAGGGCAGATTGATTTGCAATCCCACTCAATTAAGTTCAATTACTCTGATGAAGATTGAATCGGTGGTGACATCTTCGTGTGATGCATCTTGATTTTTGGATCTGTTACATTTTTACTTGCATGTGCTAAGCACAGCTCTTCATTCATCAATTTGGCAATTTGTGCTTCTGTACGTTTAGCAAACTTTTGACAATTATGCCTTCCCGTTTCTTATTGAACTTGAGTCAACTAAAGAATGGAAGCCATCTATTCTGTTTAGCTTTTCACAGCTATTTGAGGTTTCCTTTAGTTTATTATACGTTGGTCCAAAATGGGGAAAATCAGAATCAAATTTCGAGGCAAAAATCTCCATGACTAATGAGCATGAGACTGCTAGTTTATCTCAAGTTTTGTTATGCTTAAGCACCAATGTTAATATAAGTTCAGAATCTTAAGACCAAAATGGAGAAATATTATTTCTCGGGACAGGGACTAACTAGTTTGTGTTTGGCCATGGCACAAGGTGTGTTTATATCTTGCTATGCTCGTTTTGGGGGGAGAAAATTTCCATAACTGGAAACCTAATCTCAATTTCTTCATTCTTAAAAGCACGCATAAATCATCTAGTTCATAAAACAACAAATTACCTCAATCTACTAAGGGAGTTAGTTGTAATGAATTCCACAGGCGCAAATCCAAAGTAAAAAAAATCAACCTTCATCTCGCGTATTGGACTGTCATATAATTTGATTCATTTGGATTAGGCAGCAGGTGCATCTCAATTTGTGCAAGTATCCTTAAGTACATTTACAGAAAAGCAGTCTGTTACCAGACTGAAAAACGCAGTGGAGACAAGAATCAGGCTGTCAAAGCTCTAAAAGACCCAATTTGCAGTTGCCTGCAATAAAATAATAATAATAAAAAAGTTTTGCTCTGGGCCAAGTTCTGAGAAGAGAAAATGGCAACTCCTGAGCTCAATCTGGAATTGTCAGGACTATTAGTGAAAATATCAATCATGGAATGCTAGAAAAAGAAGAAAAATCAGATATCAGAGCAAAATATTTTGTACATCAAAATTTTAACGGTTTATTGAAAATAACGAGGCTGAACCTATAGCCTAATAAACAATATATGAATCATGCTTAACCAATAAAAATTTTCTTGGCAGTATTACACTGACTTGAGAACTTCACTAGCACTTTCCTTTCATGGAGAAACCATTTTCACCTCTTTTTATTTTTCTTTCTTCCTTGAAGGGGTCGCCTTTGGAAGCGTTCACCTTCTTTCTCTAGACTGCTTATCCTCCTACCTATTCCTGAAGATGATGACTTTTTATGCTGTAAAAGCTTTGGTGGTTCAACAGGCAATGATGGGGCAGGTTCCTTTCTGCCTTTTGAGAGTTGTTTGAGTGCTGAAAACAGATCAAAGGGAGAAGATTTTGCACCGGTAGTTGGAGGTGTCACAGGTACTTCTGGAATGCGCAAAATTTTTTTTACCCCAGGTGCTTTCAACACTGAAATACAAGTAGAGAATTAAGTACCGAAGGTGGTTAAAGTGAAAATCAGATGAAAATAATGTCAAAAGCCAAGTTCTCCGCTGATCTTTGAAGATTACACAGAAAATTAAAAGGGAAAAAAAAGATACAAGAACCTGGAAAACTCACCTAACCCATAAGCAAGCGAAAACAAGTTGGATGTAACCCAATAACAAAATACAGCCTGCAATGACAAAAACGAAATTTGTCATTGACTCCAAAACAAACAAGTTCTCAAACTCCAAATAACAGTGGAGGGAAGAGATGGGTAGTGAGCAGAGCCTAAAGCCACCATCTTGTGGGGATCTAATGAACGACAACTTTTCCTTGACATTCATTTATACAGACCATTACCAAAAGAAAATCTCAACTTTCAAGATGCAGATGCAGAAAACAGCTTAATTATGATCTCATAATACCATGTGCTTAGCAAATACCATGCAAGTGATCAAAAGATAACCTTTGGGAAATTCATAGTCAAAGGAACTGAAGCAACAGCAAGGGCCCTTGAAACGTTTTTCATCGTGCCAGCAGCAGGATTTCCTTCCATTCCTTCTTGCGTATTACACTGAAGAAGAGCACAGATTAGCCAGCAAAATAATATAAAAAACTGAGTAGAACAAGAAAAAGCAATTTTTGTTATTTTTTTTAAAGAACAAAAAATATCCTAGCATAAAAACATAACCGCCTAATTGGATAGAACAAGCATCTACCTCCACTGTTAGCAAGAAAGTTAATGCTGTCAAAACTGGAAAGATGTATAAACCATCTGGGGTTGTGAGGTCAACAAACCAGTATGCTCCACCACTTTTAAAGGATGGCACTTTTTCTGCCATGTTTGAAATCTGTGGGAAACTTTGTCATGATATATTAAATGTGAAGATCGAATATAAAAGAAGACTTATCTGCAGTGTATTTACGGATAGAGGTTTAGCTTACAGCAAGGAAAAAGCTGATGAAGACAGGACCTTGAATAAAGATCCCCTTCAGTGGAGTAAATGGACTCACACCATGTCTGCAATTTGTAAGTCAAAAAGAACTAAATTTTCCAGGGAAATTGACAGTCATGAAGATAATTATACTGTATAAAACTTGACCGACCTACTTGTCACAGGGGACATCAAGGTGAGTTATATGTGAAAAAGATTAAAAAAAAAATATTTTCGAGGTATAAACCCATTAAGCACCTTTATCATTTAAAAACAAACAATACAACTTATATTAGGCAAGATGTCTAAAATGGTGTTTATTTTTCTTCTGATGTAATCAGCCCCTTACTTAAAATCTCTAAAAGACCATTTCTTATAGATGGTGACTCATTTTTTATTTTTACCCTTTTCATGCACGGCTCACCTCGATATTCCCCCAGCATTGCTTACAGTAATTAAGTTTCAATGATAATACATTTTAGCACATCTAAAACACAAAAAAGAATGAAAAAGGTGAAAACCTCTTCCCAAAAGAAAAGTACATAATATCCTCTAAGCAGGACTAGTTAAATGGCAATTTGGCAATACCCTATCTTCAGGATGATAGCACTTGAACAATACTGTGCCTGCAAGTCATCCTAGGTGGTTAATGTGGCATGAATATTTAAATTCCAGTGTGGTCATAATGTACTGCTCTATAGAACACAACTTCATATTTCTTACATTTAAGAAACTAAATTGTTCATCATTTGAAACAATTAAATTCCACTACGAGCAAATGAAAAGGTTTCTTACTCCTTAAACAACTTCTGCATTTCTTTCTGACCTTCAGAAACAGCAGTAGGGTCCATGACCTGAGATGGAGACAGAGATAGTGGCAACATGATTGATGAGCATTTTGAAACAAGAAATGGATTGTATAAAGTGAGCATAGGCTACATCAACCTTTTGGTGCCTTATATTCATGCTATCATCGAAAACATTTCAGTTTTATTCACATTATAAACCGAGATAAGCATAGACCAAACAAAAAGTTGCTCAACTATAACCAAGGACATTTTGTCGCAATTGCCTGCATTGCCCTGTTGTTTCAAGTTATCCCCTTTTTATACGGGGATTTCATATCAAGAACCAAGGGGAAACCACCCACTTATAGAAACCAAGAACTGCATGCAGAATGACAAAGCATGACATCTAAAACAAGTGATCAAACTGGTATGTGCATGTGTGTTGACAAATCACTAGAAAATGCACTGGTAAAAATAAAATTTCGAGTAACATAACAAAGAGTGAGGGCCAGGGATGTACAGGCAAAGAAAACAGACCAACAATGTAAGTATGAGGTCAATAGAGTAAGGAGTGATAAAACCATCAAAGAACAAGCATAATACCTGACAGTCCACCCTTTGCTTAACCTCCTCCAAATGCGGCCTCAAGATCTGCAGGATACACATAAATCCACATGAGATATAAGGACATCAACTCTGACGTTTTACTTTGCATGCACCAAGAGGAAAATAAAATATCTTTGTGGAGGGTTAGCAGGAGAAAAAAACACGTGGAAATCTAGGTATACACTGCACTCAATGCTATACCCATTGGATTGCATGTGTCATATGTGATTTAACCAACATAATCAAATTGACATCATTATCCCCAGAGAGCAAACTTGATCTTCTACCTTAATACTGGTGCCACCAAGCAAACACATGGGCATTATAACTTAATAAGTTACATACTAGATGCTGTGCTTTTAAAATCCCAACAAGAGGCTGAAATGCCACAGCATAATGAATATCATAGAAGATAATCTACTAAAAACTGAAAATAAAATCAATGAATAAGAAGCAGAAGATTGTACAGATGCCACCTAGCACAAGATCCTCGAAAATGTCCATAACATTGCAAAACTTCGAAAATAGGGTTTCTGGAAGAAACATCCAAATGTAACTCAAAAATATTTCAAGAAATGAAACACAATCTGTTAATGACCAAGTAAACACGCCTGCCACAATGTACAAATACATCAATTCCATAACAACAACAATTCCTAAATCACTCCCCAAAAATCCCATTTATTAATCGAATAGCTTGACTGGTGGACCACACAAATCCAAAGGATGGATTTCTCGATTTCAGGAACAATCTTTCAGTTAGATTAGCATTATTCTTTCAAACACACACACACACACACACACACGTACACAAACACAAATTCAGCACTCAACAAGCAAACAAATCATTAGCACTCATATTCCGCCACAATATCATTTAACTTTAAAGAAAAACCACTAACACTAAGTTTCGAAGTAGCTTTCAACTGATTTATCAAAAGTGGAAGCATCGCGCTTCTTATAAGCAATGTAGTCACAACCATAGAAGCCCACCTAAAAAATTTGCAACAAAAACCAACAAACAAGCAATTAATTTAACCTAGTATTTAAACACACGCAAACAATTCCCTACTCTACGCAATTTCTAGTATAATTTAAATGTTCGGAAACAATCTTACCAATTCAATCCAGTAAAATTATGAACAGCATCAATAACGTGCTGAAGAGCCGCAACAGGCAAGTAAGAATCCGCAGCCGCAATCGCAACCTCATTCGTAGCGGGAGCCGCCTGCGCCACCGTATCCATCACCACATTAATCTTATCTGCCGCCGCAGAGGTGGTGGTTGACATGTAGCGTACGAAACAAGCGCCTGCGAAATGCGAGTGATTTTCTTCTTGAAGTAGAGAAGCGAAACTAGTTGAATTAATGTTGAAGGATCTTTGTGGAACGCGATTACTGGGATAAAGTTGTTCTTGATTGTTGTTGTGGTG